TGCCCTGTTTCTTGTTCATTGCAGTTTGATATGCACCAGGAGAGGAGCAGATAAAGAAAATTTGCTACACACACAATGGAATTCTACTCAGCAATAAAGAAGAATGAAATGATGATATTTTTCAAGAAAATGATTGAAACTGGAGATCATTAGGTTAAACAAAATAAGACAAAGAAAAATAAATGCCACTTTAGTTTTCTGTCATATGCAAAACCTAAATGTAAATGTGTATGTACATATATATGCATATATATGCAAATGAAAGCAGAGAAAGGATTATGAGAAGGAAGGTATCTAAAGGGAGGGATGAGTATGGAATAAGAGGAGACAATGTATGGCATGAAAGGAGGAAAAAGTGTTTCAGGAGGAAGAGGAAAGCAAGAGGGAGGGGAGGAGTGGGTAACAAAGTTGGGGGCGTGCAATAACAACTAATGAAAAAAAGAGGCCATGGATTTGAAGAAAAGCAAAGAGGGGGTATATGGGAGGGTGTGGAGGGAGGAAAGGGAAGGGAGAAATGTAATTATATTATAATCTCAAAAATTAAAAAAACAAAGACTGAGGGGCTAGAGAGATGACTCAGAGGTTAAGAGCACTGGCTGCTCTTCCAGAGGTCCTGAGTTCAATTCCCAGCAACCACATGGTGACTCACAACCATCTGTAATGAGATCTGGTGCCCTGCAGGATTATATGCAAACAGAACAATGTATACATAATAAATAAATCTGAAAAAACCAAAGATTGAAATATTAAAAGAAAAAAGAACAAAATATAATGGCACATATTTATGAAGCTGTGCCAACTAAACTATGAACCCCATTACTTTTTACGGTAATTGAAGACAATTTAAAAATTCTAAAAGCTAGGAAAGCACTTACTGTTTGAATTTATTTCTATAAATGACAGGAAATGTAATATAATTTCTTGTGATAGGAAGCTGATAACTGTGCCTAGGATGGAGGAGATGTGGAGAAAAGCAACAAGGGAAACAGCTACAACAGAGTTGGAAGAAATTTGAGCATGAATAATACAACGATTGGGCTGTTGAGATGGCTCAGTGGGTTGAGTAAAGATGCTTGCCTCCAAGCCTGAAAAACAGAATGCAGTACCCATGTACCACATAATGGAAGAAAAAAACTACTTCTGAGGGTTAATCTTTGGCCTCATTAGCATGCCACAGCATGTGTGCACCCCCAACTAAACAACTGTAATAAAAATATTCTAAAAGAAGGCAACAATTATCTTATTTCTAGTAACAGTTACACAATAAGTTAAAACGTATCAAACTGTACAATTTTAGTATGTGTACCTTATTTATGCTAATCACACATAAAAATAACAAAAAAGAAGCTGTGCTAGTTTACCCACCAGATTACTAACATATTATACGCTTAGGTTAGGGAAGATGAAGATGTGGTGGAAAACATACTCTCCATTCACTGCTGCTGATGCATACTAAGAAAAGATACAACTATTGAAGGAAAAAAGCCTGGGTACTTGCATCATGATTTACTTGTACAAAACCACTCAAAAACACTAATTCCGTACATGTACAAATAAGTTGATAAGTGCACAAACGTGTATGAAATGCTACTTTTAAAAGTTATCAAATATGTCTAGCAATGGAGATGTAGTACAATAAATTATGGCATGACTATACAGTGTATATAATATAAACTAAAAATTCTATGTATGCCTGCAGATTGTCGTGTCACACTGATAAAAAAATTAAAATCTGGCCCATAGAATAGTTTCCAATCACTGAATCCCCTATGGTCTGTTCATTTTGGCTTCCAGTTCCTCAAACATCTATTTGTACACAACCTTTTTCCTTTGCATAACTCCCATTAAGCATTAAAGTTGCAGCCCAATGTTGACTTATTTATTTAGATATACCCTTCCTGCTCACATTCAATTAAATCTGATAACTCCTACTTCATGCTTGGATGTCTCATCCATGGTTCTGCTAGTCAGAACCAGAATCTTTTACACTAGGCTTTTTTTAATGCTAAACTTTTAAACTGTTTTCACTAACAGACTTTGAACTCATTCTCAAAACTCCAATGAGTTTGGATCAATGGCTAACACATAATAGATGTTATATAAATATGGGTCTCACATAACTAAAAATTTTGACCCAGAGTTATTGTTGTCATTAATTAATTCTGGACTACTTTATAATAGCTAATTTAATCCTTCCCAAAGGAAACTACCTGACAAGTATAGTCTCCATGATTTCATAGATAGTTCAGCAATGTCCTAAGGATTTTAATCTCATATATGGTGGAATATGGAACTGAGCCCAAGAAATCTCTCTTTGGAGCCCATGACTTCAAACCTGTATATGACTGCTTTCCTCTAGATAAACAACCAGGAAGCCCTCTGGGAATCAGTTTTCATGGCTTTAGCAGAAAAGGCCTAAAGACTAAGCTCTATTCCCACGTACTTCTCAGGGAAAGCTAGATGGGAGTTGAGGCCCTATGTTGTACATTATTTATCTGCTCTATTGTGCTGTGCAGAGTTGCAATGTCCTTATGGAGTAAAACAATGATTCAATTAAGTAAAGACAAGGGGAAATGGTATCCTTCCCTCCATCCACTGGTGTGGCAGAAGGGAGTACAGCATTAAATATATCCCAAATTGCTTTACCAAGTAGGAAATATTAATGTATTTTGCCTATAAAAGGAAACATCAGTAAGAACGTGAATTTTGGAAATTACATTCTTGTATGTACTGTCAAAATTAGAAAGACAATATCCAAAGTTTTAGTAATCTACATATACTGAATTATAAATATGTTAAGGAATGAATAAATATATAATAAATCCGAAGTCAAAGGGACATTCTCTAATTGTTCAGGAAACAATGGCGAAAAAGAGGAATAAAGATTGTAAGAGCCAAAGGATCAGGGACTTTGCTGTGAGACTGTGTCTCCTAGTAATCTCAGAACCACCCCCATAAAGTTTTACCAACATGACAGCCCAGACACTGATCAAGGACGACACCAATTAACTTGGCAAAGTGGGGGGGGGGTTCCATTTCCATGAAGTTTCAACCCTATACAAAGAACGACAGTCAACTAAGAATAGCTGGGAGCAGAAGAAACAGTATTCCCCAGTGAATACTGTAGAAACTGACAGCAAGTTGGACAATGGCAGAGAGATCATCTTTTACTGCACAGAACAAGTCAGAGGACTAGGATACTGAATCAACTCATCAAGGGTTTGGAATTATTAAAAACTAGCCCACAATCATGTGCCCGGCTGATTTCAGTGACTGTTTCTCTCTAGCAGCCATCTCCTTTACACACACACACACACACACACACACACACACACACACACACACACACACACACACACACACACACACAGAGTCTGGGCCTCACTGGGTGAAGTTCTGCTGGCAATGCTGTTGCCAGTGACACACTGCCCCACCACAGAGTTCATTCATTGGATAAAGCCACATCCAATTCCACAAACTCCATCAAAAAGCTGGGAAAAGTCAAAGTCTGTGAGCCCCACAGGCTCATTTCCCCAGTAGGATTACAGACTGAGACTCTGTCAAGCACATGCTTCATCCCTTCTAAACACCACAAAGTATCCATTTGCCCTTTAAGAAATGAAAGCACGGGGGGGGCTGGAGCAATGGCTCAACAGTTAGGAGCACTTGCTGCTTGCTCTTCCAGAGGAACCAAGTTAGGTTGCCAGCACCCACAGCAGGCAGATCGCGACCACCTATAACTCAGTTCCAGGGGATCCCACACCCTCTGCTAGCCCCTCGGGTACAGCACACATGGCATGCACGTCTGCGTGCGTACGCGCACACACACAGATTAAAGCCCATCTCTTAAAAAACCACATGTAAAATCTTTTCCATCACATATTCCTGCAACATGCATTTATTAAATGCCACTCTCACCTGCTGCTGCTTGAAACACACTTAGAGGAAAGCCTGTGCTTGCTATGCACTAAAGGCTTTTCACTGAATTCACACAACTCTCTGTAGCCAGTACTTGAGTTACAGCCACTTTAAAGGGGTGGGGGTGGGGGTGGGGGTGGGGGTGGGGGAGGCAGGCTCTGAGCAAGTTCACGCTTCAAATGACACAAGAAAAGCAGAATGCCTAGCTATGGGGCCTCTCTTGGGGGAGCGAGGACTGACTCATTACTCTTTGGGGCAGGTCAAAATAAACTTCGGCGAGGAAGACGCCTGTGAGCACGCAGGTGGAACTTAGCGCAGAATGGAGGGAGGGCATTCCAGGCAGAGGCATCTGAGCGAGAAGAAGGGGTGGTCAAAGGTCAGAGTGTGCACCGGGGAAAACGAGGCAAGGCAGGTATGCTGGCTCGCTGGCCTAGAAACCTAAGATCCAACTGCACTGGACCATCTCTCTGCTCCCCATTCCCATCCATTGTCTGAAGCCTGCCAGTGGTCTCCCTTCAAATGCCTTTCTGTCTCTCAGTCCCCATGGCAACAGCCTTACAGCTCACTTTCATCCAGCTGCTTCTTATTCTAATTGCTTCCTCTGTGGCCTGCCAGGAAGTATTCAGCCCCTCCGTGAGACTGCGCACATCTAAGTCTGATCTTCTCAGCGCCCCGCTTAATTGCCCAGGCCAACACGCAGCACAGTACAGGCTCTGCACCTCTTGAGCCCCGCTAGAAGCCTTTGCACTCCCGTCTCCTCCCCTCACCCACCGCTTTGGTCATTAAGTCTATTATTCAGGTCCCTCAAGGGCCCGCGAATTAATTAGCCACACATAAACGCCTTCTGAAAAACCGGGCGGGAGAGTGAATGTGCTGCGTAAGCCAAGACAGCCAAGGAGGGCCGGGGTCAGCTGACCCCTTGCAAGACTATGCTCCGCCGCGCCCCTCCCCCACCCCTCTCAGCCCGCCTTTGGTGAGAATGGGGGGGCCTACTGCTTGCCAAACCCTAGGAACCAATGGGATAATGTGTGCACCTGCCTAAAGAATACCGAGATTCTGCTCTCCTGCGCGCAGGACAAATCCCCGTCAACCCTTAGCTGTCTTAACTACCCTTGCGGGACCCAAAATGCAACCCACTCCTTTTCCTTTCGGCTAGCGGAAGTTCCTGTGCGGGATCTTTCCACTTCCTCTTGGGTGTTCGGCGTGTGCGTGGCAAGGGAGGCGGGGCCGACGCTGCTCTGGTTTCTTGCGCGCTTGGCGCTGTGGCGAGTGCGGGCGGCGACTGTTTGCGCAAGTCTCCTTGCCAGGGACAGCGCTTTGTGGCTAAAAGCGATCGCTTCCTTGCTACAAAGACTCCGCTGACGTTAGGCGGCCGTCCCTGCCTAAGATAGCCACTTTACCCCGACGCTGCAGATAGCTTTCCCCAGAACTGCTGCAGGCTTTTTGCGTTTGGCAGGATCCATGCCTCGGGGACGGAAGAGTCGGCGCCGCCGGAACGCAAAGGCAGCAGAAGAGAATCGCAACAATCGCAAGACCCAGGCCTCAGAGGCCTCTAAGACCCCGATGGCGGCTTCTGTGGTCCCGAACACACCCGAAGACTACCTGAGCGGCCCTGAGGAAGACACAAGCACTCCGGAGAAGGCCTCCACTCCCCCTGCAGAGGCTTCGAGCACTACCCCAGTGCAAAAGCCTGTTACCCGGAGCAATTTTCAGGGCACCAAGAAAAGTCTCCTAATGTCCATATTAGCCCTCATCTTCATCATGGGCAACAGCGCCAAGGAGGCTCTGGTGTGGAAAGTGCTGGGGAAGTTAGGGATGCAGCCTGGGAGGCAGCACAGCATTTTTGGAGATCCGAAGAAGGTCGTTACAGAAGAGTTTGTTCGCAGAGGGTATCTCCTTTATAAGCCAGTGCCCCGCAGCAGTCCGGTGGAGTACGAGTTCTTCTGGGGCCCTCGAGCACACGTGGAATCGAGCAAGCTGAAAGTCATGCATTTTGTGGCAAGAGTTCGGAACCGATGCTCCAAAGACTGGCCATGTAACTATGACTGGGATTCAGATGATGATGCAGAGGTTGAGGCTATACTCAATTCAGGTGCTAGGGGTTATTCTACTCCATAGAGAGATCCCAGGCAGAGCCTTAGGAGTGGAAAGGAGAATCCAAAGTACTCAGTGGAGTAGATAGGCAGAGGCCTGAAATCAAAATAATGTGGAGGGTGGGGAGGGCACTGCATTTGGTATTTGTGATCAGTGCTAATTGTTAAACTGCGAAATAGTGTTTGCTATAGATATTGTAATCTTGTATTCATTTTGTAACACTGTTGATTAAGAATCACAATATGTTTAAATATATACTTGAGAAGATGTTTATGTTATTTTTCCTGCCATTGACATTTGCTACAACAGCTGTGCTAACCTTATTAAATGAAGACCTTCTGTCATGTTGTGGAATGTACAGGATTTGTATCACAGAAGGGCTGTTCTTTGAAAGTTTGGAATAACCAGTACAATGTGAGTGAGGGAAAATAACAGACTCGTTCTGTCTTACCTTTGTGTTTGATGTCTTGTAAAGAAACACATCTGTGAATATGCCCACTGCACAAATAGCATAAATAAAAGCATAGTAAATAGGATGTTTTCTTCATTTATTGTCCACCTGTTAAGTGAGGATCAAATTTAGATTCTAGGCACACTCCTTAGACAGCATGTAGCTTCCAAGAAACTTTTAGGCTGTGGGAGGGGGAAAATGGAAATGCAGTAAGGGTTGAAGGGAATGAGCATAGAGCAGTAAGGAGAAGGTAGACAAGCTGATGACATCAGCTGTGAGGAAAAAAAGCAGGAAAAGAGGGTATCATAGGAGGCCTGGAAAAACAAGGAACACTTGGAGAATATAGAAAGCATCATCATAACATCTTATTTGGTATAAGGTATTTCATTGGAATCTTAACACACCTTGAAAGAAAAGCCATTAGCATATATTTGAAAATGTGGTATAGAACTATAAAATAAGGACCACATGGGAATTAATGTTGAGAGGATAACTGGAAAATAGATTGCTGTGGGGACACACAAAGTGAAAAGGAGACAATGAGAAAATTTTGGAGGCTGTGTCGATCTGAGTTCTCAAGGTAATATTGGGGTGTGGGAGTAAATGTGGAGTCACTGACAGCAACATAGAAATTTAGGGAATAAGAAATTCCTCGATGAACTTTTCAGGTGCTGCTGGAGGGAAATAGAGAACAAAGAAGGAGATGAGTGGAAGAGAGGCAGTGCCTCACAGGCTGGCTGTCACAGCTTACGATAAGGCAGCGATAATAACATCATCAATAGCCAGGTGAGCCTGGGACGCTGGGGAGAAAGGCTCTGAAACATGTGGGAGGAGCCTGAGAGAAGATTCCACCTGGAACTTCACAGCAAGGACACTTACAAGTTGCTCAGGTGAGACTTTTGCACTGCACAGTGTTTAAAATGCTCACTCTGTGTGTGTGTGTGTGTGTGTGTGTGTGTGTGCACATGTTCAGGGTCAAGGTAATGTTGGGATTACACTTTCCCATTGAGGTCACGTGGTGACTGCAGATGTGGAGATACAGGAGAGTCTTCCCCATTCTCCTTAGCTGCCTGGCTGAGAACACAGAGGAGAACACTCCATCTCTAGAGGTGACCACATTTCCCACAAGGAAACTACTAAGAAAAGAGACTGCAGTCTCCTTCTAGGGAACATGAAGGGCAGGTGCTGGCCCAGGCACGCCACACAAACCACAGAGGCCAAGATGGGTTCTGCCCTGCTCCGCTACAATCTCACCTGCCTGGTAGCTGAGTACAAGGCCCAGTCACTGGGTGCAGGGTAGAGTGGCAAATGATTTTGTGTAAAGCCCAAACCCACAGCCAGCAGTCTGCAGGATAAGTAGGCTTCACCCAGAAGCAGAGCCCATGAAGCAAGCCTCAGCAGCTCCCAACACATATGATGAGAACCTTCTAATGCGCAGGAAGAGCCAGAGAAACAAGACCCTTGTCACTTGCCACTGTGGGTACATGTTGGTCAGTCTAGCTCAAGAGGTGGGCAGCCAGAGAATCCAGGAGAGGGCAGCAGGAAGCTTTCTGGGCCAGAGTGACTGAAGTGACAGACCTGAGACAAGGTCCTGGGTCTTTCCCCACACTCCCACAGTTCTGGACTCTCTCTGGGTCACCTGTCATCTGTGACGGCTTGCCAGTGCATGCTCACAGGGTCTCTGCCTTCTAAGGAAATGTGAAGGTTCAGCCGGCTGTCATCAATCCCATGGAAGGGGAGACACACGATCTCCTCCTCTCACAGAGGTTCCTCTTAGGAGTCACAGCACCCCAGGAAAGTCAGCTAGGAAGTAGGGGATCCGGTAGCAGTTTTCTTCGGTACTTCATGCTTGCCAGAGGAGTGTCACATTGTGTGCCTGCCAGGCCATGATGATCAATGGACCAGTTTTACTCAAGTGCCAGCTCACTCAAGGCAAGGCTAGATATGATTTATGTCCATCTAAAACCTGTCTGAGTCTGTGATGGCTCTCTTGGGCATAAAGATTCAATGGCCTAATGTGGTTATCTCTGTGTACAGGGCAAAAAGCATCATGAAGACCCCAGAGCAGGAGAATCCCGACACGGGAGAAATAACAGGCACAGGCATACAGCTGAGCTGTGCCAGAGATCACTGCTGGAATCCCAAAAGCTTCAGCAGGAGACTCTGCTCAGCTTGAATGTGGAAACTGGGGCTTGGGTGACCTGCTTTGCCCAGGGATGGAATCTTCAAGGTGCTAGGCTCATCTCCCTGCAGGTTCGGTCCTTCCAGCACACTTCGAAGTGACCCATTCGCTGGTGGAGTAAGAGCTGACAGGGGAGGAGGAGACAAGAACCCAGTCACTGTGAGATGAGTCACAGGACTGGGGAGAGTCAGGAAAGGGGACTCGTGGAAGAGGGTGAGCCAAAGAGCATGCTCATTGTGACATTGACCCAATTCTGAGGAGATGAGGCAGCAAAGTAAGAAGCCTTGCTTCAGTAAGCATGAAGGCTAGGTGGCCCCAGCCCTGCAGCCTTCCTATGAAATAAGTGGGAGAGCTGCAGTGTCAATTTGCAAGGATGAAGGAGAAGGAGCGAAGCCCTGGGTCCTGGGACACTCCAGAGAATTAGGGAACAAGGCCTTGTTAAGGGGAAAGAGGTAGAGAGAGGCAGGGATAGAGAGAGACTGGCGGGAGAGAGATGGAGGATCTCCAAGGCTAGCATGAGTATCAAGTTGTCCTTTACTGAGTACTTATTATGCCAGGCACTTCTTGGGCTGATTCCCTGCCTCCTCCCCAGTGTGTGTGCCTCTGTTTCGAGGTAGGGGGACTCCAGGCCAGGTTGGCAACAGCAGAAACTCAGATCACTCCCACAGGCCTCTGGGATCCCAACATTGGTCCATGGCAGGCTTGCATGGGAAAACAGACCCAGGCAAGAATGAAGTTGGCACAATTCATACAACAAGGATGTGTGTTCCACTATTTTCATAGCAGCATTATTTGTAATAGCCAGAACCTGCAAGCAACCTAGATATCCCTCAACTGAAGAGTGGATAGAGAAAATGTGGTACATTTACACAATCGAGTACTAATAAGCAGAAAAAAAACAATGGAATCCTGAGATTTGCAGGAAAATGGATGGCACTAGAAGAAACCATCCTGAGTGAGGTAACTGAGTCACAAAAAGAGAAACATGGCATGTACTCCCTCATATATGAATTTTAGACATAGATCTGAGGAGTGCCAGCCTACAATCCCATGGCCAGAGAGTCTGGGAAACAGAACCTTCATTCATTGGCTGATGTAAGAAGAGGCAGGCTCCCATGGCTAAGCACTGAGCTGAACTCAAGAAATCCAGTGACAGAGAGGGAGGACTGATGACCAAAGGGATTAAGACTGAGCTTGTTTAACCCCCAGAAACAGCTGACCTGACAAGGGTTAGCTCTTGAAACCCAGACTGATGCCTGGGAATCCAGCATGGGACTGATCAAGGCCCCCTGAAGGTGGGTGTCAGTGAGGAGGCTTAGGTAATCTATTGAACCTTGGGTAGTAGATCAGTATTTATCCCGGGTATACAAATGGACTTTGGGTGCCCATCCAACAATGTGAGATGCACTCTCAACCTGAAATCTTGAGGGAGGATCTAGGCCCTGCCCTGGATGAGATGACAGACTGTGGACACCCCAATGGAGGGCCCTCCCTGGGAAATGAGGGGATATCGGAGGGGTTGATGGGAGGGTGCAGGAGGAGGGGAAGGAAAGGGAGATGGACCTGGAATTGACATGTGAAGCAACCTTGTTTCTATTTTAAATTTAAATTTAAAAATAAAAAAAGAATGATGAGGGTACCCAATGCTGTAAAGACAAACTTCTTCCGTAGGACACAGAGTTTCCATTTAGGCTTGGAGGAGTTCTCTGGGGTCAAAAGCCTTCAAGCCCAGGGCCATTGAAAAGAAAATAGAAGGTCAATTCACTGTCCACTGTGTTATCTGGGGATGGACATGGCAAAAGTGGCAGAGGGCTCATACCCTCCTCCACACTACAGATGTTATCATGGAAGCTCCTGATTCCTTCACTGCTTGTCTGTCTTCCAAAATGAAGTGGGTTATGTCACTTTCCTGGCAGGATGCTCTAAAAATTCATGCTTTTACACACTGTGTATGTGTTAGCTGAGGTATGGGTCCACTCTAGCTGTGTGTTATATGTGTGAACAAATCACTAGGTCCCTACTTCTCACCGTCAAAGGTCCATGTGGTAACAAAGAAATGGCAAATAAGATGAGCATCTTCCCAACAAGGAGTCACAGGCATGTGATTGTTGCCTTGGCTACATGTGGTACTGGTGATGGGGGGGGGATCTCATCTTAGTGCTGGATGAGTCTGCACAGAATGACCGGAAGTGCTGACACAGGCCCTGAGGGTTCAATTCAACAGTTTAGGACAGGCAAGGTAGACTTGCCTGGGTGGGTGGCATTGTAGGAAAGAAAAGAAGAAGAGGAGGGGTTTACCTTGCTGATATGTCAGGTAAATATTGTTCTGAAATAAGGGACACTGCTTCAGTGCCAGAGGGTGTTTAGCGCACTTAGTTAATGGCAGAAAGGGCAACGGGTGTGAGCCCACTGAGCTGACAGTAAAAGAACAGGAGGAAAAATAGGGGAAGCAGCAACAGGACCCTGGCTTTCATTGAAAGGAACCTACCTCACATTGCAAGTGAAATGTGAGGGGGTTAGGTGGGAGGAACTGTGTATGTTAGGTGGTATGACCCAGCAAGCCTTGTAGGGGGAGCACTCGTGCAGACCAAATGCAGACAAGGCAATTTGGAGCCCAGAGAGCAGGCACGAAGCCAGGCCAGAGATAGTCACTGAGACCGCACTGACCACATTGCTTAGAAAAACAAAGGCAATTGAAAAGGGGAAGAAAACCAGCCATTGCCTCCAACAATGTAGAAGTCTCTGCAGACATTTACAGGAGCCACTTCATTGCAGAACTGGGTGACAAGCCTGATCTGGAGAGGTTTAAGAGACAATGCAAGTGGTGGAACCAAAGACGATATATGCATGTTAAGTGCAGTATCGCTGGAGTGGGGAGACAGAAAATGGCCAGAATGGTAATG